ATATTTTTTAATGAATAATTGTCATTAAAAATTTCTTCATTTCATATATATTTTTAATAATCTTTTGCATATCCTGTTATTTCAATTTTCTATACTTATTTTGCAAATTAAAAATGCTTCTGTTCTATGCCATCGCCTGCATACTACTGTGCCCAGCCACTCAGATACATATATTTGGGAAGTTCATAGTGTTGGCTGGCCGAAAGTACATACATATGAGGGCTATTAAATATATTTTATCAGCTTTTAATCTTTTGGCATTTGGCTTTTCATCAGCTGGCGTCATAAATAACAACAAAGTGGTATTTAAGCGCGCATTGCGTTGATTTTCCTGCTGGCTTTTTGTGGTCCTTTTGGCTGTTTGTTGTTGTCACATTTGCTGTTCTGCTCTTGCTTATATGGCCATTTTGGACCGTTGTTGTTGTTGTTGCTGTTGTTGATTTTGACTATAGTCAAAGTCATAAATATAAAGTGATAGATTCGACAAAGCGCAAATACTTCAAATAGGGCCAACTTCAAGCAATTTCAAGAGCATCGAGAGAAGCGAAAAGACAAACAAACAAAGCAACAGCACACACACACATGCCCATTTATCCACACTCTCACCCACACACACACACACACGAAATTCGTACGCCTAACTCAGCCTTGAGCTGTTTATCGAAGCAAAATTGAGTCGGAAATTCGCATTGCCCTTTGATTGATGTCAAAGACATAAATATCATGCGTGAGTGTGTGTGTGAGAGAGTGTGTGCATATGGGTGCCCGTATTCACGCTTGATTGAGAACACATTGAAAAGGTGTCAGAGCCGACATTCAGACAATTTTGATGGCATATTTCATTCGATGCCAATTCAGGGCAATAAATATTCCCCATTTTTTTTTTTTTTTTTCGTTTATGCCACGCATCTTTGTTCTGATTTTTCAACTTTAGCTCATAGGTCCCATATATGTATTTATTTATATATATTTATGTGTGTGCCTTTTGTTTTATTTATAAGCGGCGACGATGGCAAAACAAAAGGCTGAAAGCTCTACGTCAAAGCTGTCAATCGCAAATCAATCAAAAAGCCATTTTGTGGCACTGTTTGTTTGCTTTTTTCTTTCTTTTTATGGGAGCTTGAATAAAATATTTATTTTTATGAATTTATATTTATTTTCTCGACTCGAGGTCTGATTTAAATCAATATTTAAAGACTTTTGCGGAAAGTTCTGTTGCTTTGCAATAAAGGTCTTTCAATTTGAATGTGTGTTAGTCCAGTAGCAAGTAATTCACCTAAATATTATATTATTTTATTTACCATATACTGTTGCTTAAAGCGTGTTCAAGAAAAAATATAGAAGCCTAGCAAATTTTAAATTTATTTTATTATTATTTCTATTATTTAATTATTTTTGAGTCAGAAATTATTTTATAAAACTTGAGATTTTTAAGAAATTAATAATCAAGTTAAATATTGCTTACTTACACACATAATATAATATTCGGATGTGTATATGTATGTAGTATAATAATCACTTTGTCTCTATGCACCTATTTCTTTCAACAACTCCGATCGAAGCAAAAGCTCGTTGACAACTGAGTAACTGAAGTGTGAGTGCTCAAATAAGTAACAATAAGAACTCAATTAAAACGGTATTTGCTGCCGACCATCTACGCATAACATTCTGTTTATGTGTGTTAGGCTGTGGATCTTATTAGCAATTATAAGAGAAACGCTCCAGTCTGTCACTGCTAATAGACTCGATCGTGCAAATCGGCATTCGCAATCCACACTGTTAAAAGGCTCCGTGGGTTACTATCACTCAATTGTAATTCGTGGCAACTCATCATGTTGGTGTGTGTGAGGTTGTGGATCCTCTCAGCAACTATAAGAGAAGCACTCAATACGTCTTCCAGGCGCTTATTGCTAAGTCTGTTTGCTCGCTTATGCCGTTTACATACATACATCTATCACTCAGGCTGAATTTGTAGGTGTGCGTGAGAGAAGCACGCTTGCAAATTCTATTAGCAACGCTCTTTGTTTATCTTCCCACTGAGATTGATTAACTCTTCTCTTATAATCAAAACTCAACCGCTTCTCTTGGCTTACTTGCTTATTAAAATAACTCTATGTCGGAATGAGTAAAGCTTATTCTATGCGCGTTTGTTTACTTTCAATTCCACAGCTGTATTTATGAACTTGCAGAAACCAATGCAGCGTACAGAAAAATATACATATATCCATGCATATACATACATATATAAGCTAACGTAATGCATTTATATTATTAATTACAATATACATGCTTCTAACGAAATTCAAATAAATATCTATGTGTGGGATGGACGACTGGGTCGACACACCTTCCTGTCTGCATTATATGCGATAAATAATTTTAATTCTGAATATACATAAGAGGAATACAATTTTAATGCTACATCATATTTGTTTTCATTGAGCTTAATGGGATTATTGTTCGTATCGGGTTTCTTTTGAAAACAAACTCAAGTGTTTTTATCGACTGTGCAGTCGAAGCGAACAGCTTTTTTTTGCTCCTGTTATTCTTTCCATTTTACTTCTTGCTCTGGCTCCATTCTTTTTTAAGGGACTTTCGATGCACGAGTGCGTTTGCCAGCTCTTCGTCTGCTGTTTGCACATAGCCTTTGTCCAGACAAGCGATATGCTCCCGCTCCCACTCCCACACCCGTTCTCTCATTCTCATACCGGGAGTTCCGTTCGCTCAGCTCGGATCCAGTTCATTAGTGCAGTCGGTTGAGCGGCATTTCACGGACGCATGCCTTAAATAATTGCATTTTAAATGCAATCAACATTTTTGCTCGCAAATATTTTTGGTCARCCAGCCATGTTGTTATTGTTGCGCTTGTTGGTGCTGTTGTTGTAGCTGTCGTTGTTTGCTGCGCCAAGGATTAAAATTTGTTGCTTAAACCGCAATAAAACCACTCGCTATTTATGGCTAATTTGTTGTTGCGTTTTGTTGTTTGGTCTTGTTTTTTTTTCCGCAACTAATTTGTGACATGCACAATTTTTAGTAAAAAAGGAGCGGAGGCAGGACACGCGTGTCCTGTGGCCGCACAGACGTGGATATTGGTATTGACAGCGTCACAATGTCAGTGTCAATCAGCGTTTAAGCTGTTGCCCGCCTCTGAGTGCTGTTGCATTTTGGCTATGCGATTGATGGCATTTTTATTGCAGCAGATTTATTTGAACGGTAAAACGAGCAGCGAGCACACACACACACACATACCGATGTAAATACATGGCAATCACAAATGCACACACATACACTCGCTCTCCCACGCTCTCTTGCACGCTTAGCAAAGAGACTCTCACACACACACAAAGCGCTTGCTCTCACCCAAACACATCATACTCCTCTCTTGCACACACACATATGTATGTATATTTTCGGTGTGAAGCATTCACGGCCCGCTGCTAAGGTCTGGCGTGCATTCGAAATGAAAATGGAATAAAATACAAAATAAATTGTTGCTAGGTTGTGTTCTGCGGCTGTATTTTGTGGCTTAGTTTACTAACCACCTCCTCCTAGCCGCCCCCTTGAATATACCCCACCAGCCGTTCCTCTCCCCTACCCCAATTTGTTGGTTAGCTTTTGTGGCTGGTTTGATGTGCAGCATGCGAACTGCATTCCATTGCCGCTTCCGTACGTTTTATTCATTCTGTTAGCTGCCGTTGTTGTTGCAATTTTTTGTTGTTGTCAGTATTTTGTTGTTATCAGATTAATACGCACTTTTCCCGCATTTTAATTGAAATGACGGCGTTATTAGCACGAAATTGATTTGTGGCTTTTCTATTTAAACGGTTTGTAACAATTTTTGGGTAAACGTTTAGATCGCTTGCAATGCATAAACCCATAAACAGCCAAGCAACTAAGATATTGAAAACGAAATCAGTGGAGGACAGTTCTAGTATATATACACTGGTTACTAATGCATACAAATATATTGCTTAAGGAAACATATCTATATGAGGCAGCTCTAATAAAGCATAGATTTTAATTATTTTCTGCTTCAACTGTCTAGTCCGTCAGTTTAACCAAGAAAATTAGGCAATTACCGATTATATAAATAAAGCATATTTAAAAGGGCTGAAAGAGAAGTCTCAATTATCGATATGATATGATATTCAGGCTATGCCCTACTACTACTATATGCATAATTTAGGACAATTTATGATTTTCAGCAATTTGAGCTGAACTGTAATCTATGTATATAATGTATACAAAGTATACAAAGCATAAACCAAACAAAACTTAATTTTTCTATTATAGGGAATATATAAAGGAAAGAAGCATACAGGCTGTTATTGCAAAAAATTATAGTTTTCATAAATAATTTGAGTTTTTTAGGAGTGAAAATATTTTAGATTTATTTAAAAATTAATTTGTACGTTTTGCCAAATCATAATATTTAGTAACCCGTCCAAAATACTTATAAACTATGTAGAATTTATATCATTTTTGCAATTTCCTTATTATATAAATTATTTTAAGAAATCTAGGTTAAAAAAAATAAATAAAATAAATTAATGAAAATAACAACTACCAGAAATAAAAGGTTCCCAAAACTGCTTAATTTATTAATTGCGTACAATTTGTATTGATGTAGTTTTGCTACCTACACAATTTCAAACTTTGACAATTGCTTAATTTTGGTTTCAGTTTATTTTCATACAACATCTTAAATAAGCTCGCCGGCTCTAACCAGGCTAGCTAATTTATTTGCTCAGTACAGTTGGCAAATAAAACTACAAATCGTTCAGCTCTTTTCAGTCATTCAATAAAACGGCTAAAACTTTCAACAACTTATTGCTTTGAGAGGGCCAACACCCCCTTTCGCTCACTGTTGATTGCCTGCCTCTGCTCTTCTTCTTCGTTTTCTTCTTCAGTTTCATCTGGTTGTTAGTTGTGCGCTTTATGCTTGTGGCACTTTATAAATCTGAGATGCAGCGCCTGGCTGCAAGAAGGCGAATGGCAATAAAGTGCATTGCGTATTTGCAGCTAAACATGAAATGAAAATGGAAAATAGAAAATGGAAAATAAAGGAAAGAAATAAAAATAAAAAATAATAACTACAACAACTATGAAATGCAAACGTCAAGGAAATTTAATTAATTTTTAACGTTGGCGCCAAACACTTGGCCATGGCCCAAACAAAAAGCCAAAAGAGCTATTATAAGTTTTGCATTATGGCAACTGGCAACACGGGGAAAGCCAACGGCGACGCACTTGAAATATATATACAAAAAAAAAAAAAAAAAAACCATAAATATATACAAAATGAATGAAAAGAAAATGCCAAAGAGAGAGAAGGAGACAGGGAGAGGAATACGGAGGCTGGAAAACTGTGTGAAAATGATGAAAAAGTGCAGCGATGGCTATCAAAAAGGCAGATGCAGCTGTATAACTTGGCCGAGCACAAAGAGCCGAGCTTTCCTTTTTGTATCTTTAGGTGTGTAGGTAGACAGATAGATAGATAGGTGTGGGCCATACTCGTAGCCATGTACTTACCTTGAGCACCGTCACGCCACTCCTCAACCCCGTAATCAGGCAAAGCGTTAGCCGACTCAAATTTATTTCTATGACGTCTCTTGCCGTCTTTTTTTTATAATTTTATGCAGCAAGAATCAGCAAGACAGACAGTGAGAGAGAGGGAGAGAGAAATAGAGAGAGAGAGTGTGTAAGAGTTGGACGTGATTCTGGCACGGCACGAGGTATATGAATAATGACGGTTGGAGTTTTGTTTATTATCATTTTGTTGTTGCTGAAAATTTCGTGATTTTGTTTTGCAGGCAACATGAAAGAAATAGTCAGCAAGCGAGCTGAACAGGTTGGGCAAAGCATAAGAAAAAGCCGTATAAAAACGTATAATATATAGACGTAATAGTATTCCAAGTATTTTTATTTAATTTTTGCATTTATTTGCATTTAATAGACGTCTGCGAGAGAGGAGCGCAAACATGGCAAACAAACAAAAGTAAAGTAAATATGGTAAGACAAGCAAAAAAAAAAAAATGCACACAGAAAATAGCATGCAAGCCAATGGGAATGAGCGAGATGGAGAGAGAGGAAGAAAGTGTCTGAGGTAGAGAAACATGGTAAAGGGTTTACGTTACGAGTGGAACGTCAGTTAAGGGACTTTGTCCAGAGTTTGCTGGAAATATTTTTGAAGCTCTTGATGGAAGAGAATTTAGTCAGAAAATTACTTTAAAGCTTCTATACACACAATTCTACTGAAATTAATAAAACATTTATTTATTTATTTATTTATTTTTTTTTTTTTTGAGTTATTTTTGAAGTCGTTGAGTGCTGATG